AAAAAAAAAAAAAAAACACCCCAATAAAAGAGATATATTAGGAAAGAAATGAAGAATAAAAAAGTTGCAATGTCAGGGAAGGATATAAGACACTCTACACAGGTTACTGTCAAACCCCAAACCAGCAGAGGGAATCAAAATGCAGCTGACAACAACACAATAATATGAATTATGATGCCCTTCAGCCAAACAGACAAGGCATACAACCCAACCAAACAATATCATGTGTACAAGTTCAGGACCACGTTAGCTATAAGCAATCGAACAATAAAGTGTGTTCAAAAAAAGGCCACAATACTGGAAAACGCAGCCAACTAAATAATTAGCCAACTTCTACAGAGTACGGTGGATCCAATCTAATAACAAATACTCTCCAGTAACTGAACTTTCATTAACAAGAAACATCGAATCGAAATATAAGCGATCCCTCAGTTTCTTANNNAGGACATTGGTTAGCACTCCCACTCAAGTTTCACAAATCAAAATTAACTGAGAAGTTAAAAAACACACTCACATTTAGCAAGCTTGGCTAGCTTCTGCGACGTCTGGTGAATCCCAAGCCCGATCTTCGACGCCCTCCGATTGAACTCCGACTGCAGCGCCACCGCTGAACGCGGCTCCTCCAGCTTCGATCCGCTGCTGCTCGGCCCATTCAGGGCGGCGAGCGGCTTCTTCGACCTCTCCGCTATCCCCCAAAACTCCTGCGTCCGATCCCTAATGGACGCATTCCCTGTCTTCACCGCCATTTTTAACGGATCAAAAAATTTATCAACACAGCAATAGCATGAAATACCCTGTAAAAAAATTCTATTAAACAAGCTCCTCGAGTAGGTACAGATCGAGGGAAACTATTTGGGAGAAATTAGCCTGTTCATAAACCCTAAATTCTTCAAAAAGAAAAAAAAAAAGAATAAATGAAGTTGAGATCTGCGAGGAGGAGGAGAATTAAACAGCGCGAAAATTATGTGAAAGGTATGTTTTTGCCGTCTGAATGTTTGCCGGTAAATATAAGTAAATAATAAAGGAAATGCTACAGTTCCGTTACGGAACCATTCTGTTAGGTTTGTAACCGTTAAATCAACTATTCATAACGGTTATATGATGGTTCCAGACCGTAGCATTTCCTTTATTTTTGTAGTATAATAAAGTTAAGACCATCTTTGTGAATCAATAAGTTGGGTCACACGAAAAATACAAAAAATTCATAAAAAAAAAAGAAAAAAAAAATGGGAGACGTTGGACGACCCAGGTCACAATGTGATCTTGGGTCGCGGCCTTCATTTTTTTTTTCTTTTTTTTTTCATGTGTGTTTTTATAATAAGAGAGAAATGGGACTCAAATTTCAGAAATTCTATGGTGCCACATGTGGCACCATATTATGGTGCCACAACATGATGTGGCACATTATGATTGGTGCCACAACTATCACACATCATGTTGTGGCACCAATCATAATGTACCACATCATGTTGTGGCACCATAACACGTGCCACATGTGGCACCATAGAATTTCTGCTCAAATTTTTATTGGTCTATTTTATATTTTATATGATAAGATAAGTAAACTCAAATTATTGATATTATTTTGTATTAAAAACTAAAATAAAAAATATCAAAATTCGTATTATTTCATTCTCTATTAACAAAGACCACTATTGATATGTTCTTTTAATACAATTGAAATATTATATTGGGTTAGGTTGTAGATTAAACAATACCAAAAAATACCAAAAAATGTATTGTAGAAAATATTTAATAAATAAATAAATAAAAATAAAATAAATATTATGTTGGGTTGGGTTGGGTTGAGAATAAAAATATGTAAGTTGTTAAAAGTCGGATTGTGTAGGTGGAGAAGAGAGAAATAATTTTATATTAATGGGTTGGTTGAGTTGGGTTGTGGATAAATATAGTCTAAGTAAGCCTGTGTTCAAACATACTTAATGGGTGTATTTATTTGGAATTTGAATATTTAATGGAACTTTAAGAATCATGGTGTGTTTAATTTAAATTTTTAAGACTTTTAAAAAAAATATATATTCAAATATATTATTACATTTAACTAATGCAAAAATATAACGGTTAATTTTCATATCTACTGTTTGTCTCATTTTTGTTGCGTTTTTCGTGTTTATTTTATCTTTATTTTTTCCCCGTTTTAGGTCGTTTCTTTAGTTTTTCGTCCGTTTCGTGTTTTATTATGTGTTTTCCTTCATTTTGAGTCATTATGTGTTTTTTGTTTGTTTTCTGGTTTACTTTTGTGTTTTATCATTTTTGGTGTGTAGGTCGAAAGATTCGGACGAATTTTCTCTTCAAGAAAAGTTGTTTCGAGAGCATAACTAGATAGAGGGGTTCGTTAGCGACGCATAGGAAAAAACGAAACTCAATTCCGAGTTCGAACGAGCTCAAACGAGGCGAAAACGCAAAATGGCGCAGTGCAGCCCAGAATCTCGCGAGTCGCGAGTTTTAGTCGCGACTCGCCAGAGAAAAGTCGCGACTCGCGACTGTAACAGAGCCTCGAGCAGCCCAACGACCCGTCCAACTCGTGACTCGCGAGTCAACTCGTGAGTCGCGACCTGTCGACCCCTGTTTTTATTTTTGCTCGTTTTTACTCGTTTTAGCTCCGTTTTCGCGCACTATATATCAAAACGAACATCCAGACCTAAGGAACAACCCCCAATATCTTTCCTTTCAAGTTTTCTCTCCAAAAACTCAACATTTTTAGCATAATTTTCTCCGCTTTTCTTTTTATTTTCTCATACTTGGATTGTTGGACACAAAGACATTTGGATTGAAATCTTTCAAGTCTTAATTCGATTGTAAGTTTTTTAATTCTATTTCATTATTGTTGATTGGTTTTATGTTCTTAATTCCAGTTAACATGAGATTTAATCTAACCATGAGGTAATCCATTCACCTATGGTTAGTGATTTTGATTCTTGTTTTGAATTATGAGGAATGTGTTTTGTTCAATCTATGCGAGTTGTGTTAATTATAGGGTTAGTTGATTGATCACCATTCTAACCTAGTTAATCAACGTGTAGAACCGAGAGGGGAGGCGTTGATCGATTTAGGCTCGTATAGAGTAGACATGTTCGGAAACGTATTGTCAATGTGTTGCTTGTTTGAATGAGTTTATCGTTTATGTATGTGCTCTTGTTACGAAGAATTATTGAGCATAGTCCTCTAGACGTGTAGGCTTGTTAAATCTCGTAACCGAACAAATAATCATTCAACATAGTTTAAGGCTTGATGAGATTTCCCGACCCCTAGAACTTCTTATTTTTCTCTAGAAATTTAATTGTTATTTATTTAAAATGTTTTTCTAGTTTTGGCTTGTTTTAGTTAGTTCTCCAAATCAACCGTGATTAGAATGTTTATTTATTTTCTTTTCGTGTGTGATCAATACCAACGTTAAATTTCGAACCGTCTTCCTTGAGAGATCGACCCGGGGAACGAATCTTTTGATTCGGTTGTCGGTAAAAATAAAAATAATTTGCTACAACATCTACATCTATATAAAAAGGTTTGATTCTTACATTTTTATTAAACTTTTGCATAAGTGTAACTTATATGGATTAATTTTTCTTAAGGTTTATATTAACTAGTATAGTGCGATGCACGAGAGTTTACTATCGCCGTCGCTTTTAAAAAGCAAATTTAAATTAAAATTCAAAACACTTACTAAGGAAAGATTATCAGCAATATATTGTGTGTAGATAACTATGAAGTGTGTTATAAAAAAAACCAATATTTTTACAAGATTATCAAAATCCGAGATTTTTTATCACAATTATATCAAATTCGTTAACAAAATTCAAGATTTCTTATCAAAATAAGATCAAATTTGTTACCAAAACTTGAGATTTGTTATCCAAATCCGATGAAATTTGTTACCATAATTCGAATAAATTGGTTGACATGTGGGGCCCATTGATATTGTTTATATTAGTAAGTCAACAATTAACTTTTTATTTTAAAGATTATATGTCATTTTAGTGTGACATAATGTTTACCAAAATTAATGGAGTTGTTACAATTTACTTTGGTAAGACTTTTTGGATTGTTTGAAAAATAATATTTTTTTTTTATATGTATCATTTATTAATTTCGAAATTTTTTCTACAATATTTAACTCTAAACAATCTGAAAACATTACGAAATTTGTTACCAAAAGAAATCCCAAAGATTATCGACAATATATTGCATGTAAATAATTATGACTTGTGTTACCAAAAAATCTATATTTTAAAAGATTTGTTATCAAAATCCGATATTTGTTATCAAAATATGAGATTTGTTATCACAATCAGATCAAATTTGTCAACAAAATCCGAGACTTGTTATCAAAATAAGATCAAATTTGTTACCAAAATATGAGATTTTTTATCAACATCCGATCAAATTTTTTACCAAAATGCGATTAAATTGATTGACATGTGGGGCCCATTTATAATGTTTATATTAGTATGTCAACATTTAATTTTATATTTTGAAAATTATGTGCCATATAAATGTGACATAATGTTCACCAAAATTAATGGAGTTTGTTCAATTTAATTTGGTAAGACTTTTTGGATTGATTGAAAACAATAATTTTATCTTATATATATTATTTATCAAATCTCGAGATTTTTTTCTGCAATATTTAACTCAAAACAATCTGAAAAAATTGTGAAATTTGTTAACAAAAGAAATCCCAAAGATTATCGGCAATATATTGTGTGTAAGTAATATGAAGTGTATTACCAAAAAAACCGATATTTTAAAAGATTTGTCATCAAAATCCAAGATTTGTTATCAAATTCGAGATTTGTTATCACAATCAGATCAAATCTGTTAAAAAAAATCCGAGATTTGTTATCAAAATAAGATCAAATTTGTTACCAAAATCCGATATGTGTTATCAAAGTCGATCAAATTTGTTACCAAAATCCCATTAAATTGGTTGACATGTGTAATCTATTGTTATTACTTATTTTAATAAGTGAACAATTATTTTTCTAAATCAAAATTATTATTTTTATATTTTTCCAACAACCTCTTTATATTATTATAGATATAGACTATAGATCAAATTCCAATAATTCGCCATTTTCTATTTATTGTTGGGGTGCACAAGTAAGTTCCAAAAAAGTATAGGGGCATCTCCTGCAATTTGCCGTCCCTTCCACAGTTCCACCTCATAACCTTCGCCTTTAAAATTTGTCCTGTTCGCAGATCTAAAAGCTTCATCTCTTATTTTTTCCTTTTTTTTTCCAGTTTTGAATAATTTGTAGGGTTTAAGATCAAACAAATTCCCCCAATTTTTCTCCCACAGTCTGTAATTAATAAAGCTCGAGGATCTTGTTCACTTGAAGCTTAAACAGGGTTTTGATGCAATTGCCGTGTTAATAATTTTGTTGATAATCCGATGAAGACTGGGAATGCGTCCATCAGGGATCGGACGCAGGAGTTTCTGGGGATAGCGGAGAGGTTGAAGAAGCCGTTCGCCGCACATAATGGGCCGAGCAGCAGCGGATCGAAGCGGGAGGAGCCGCCGCGGTCGGCAGCGGCGCTGCAGTCGGAGTTCAATCGGAGGGCGTCGAGGATTGGGTTCGAGATCCACCAGACGTCTCAGAAGCTAGCTAAGCTGGCTAAATGTGAGTGTGTCTTCAGTTTAGGGCTTGATTTTCCTTTTGTGTTAGAAACTGAGCAACCGATTTGGATTGAGAGCTTATGATTTCAATTTGTCGTTTCTGAGCTTGTATGGTAACGAAAGTTCAATCGCCGAGCAATAAGCATTGGATTGGGATATATTATCCCCTGCAGAAGTCAGCTAAATAATTTGGTTGGATGTATTTTTCATTACAATTTCTGTAGCATGTGTGAGAAATGCCGATATACCTGGCTTGTCTACAGTTATGCCTGGTTGAAGGGTGGCATTTTCAGTGTTTTAAGTGAATTGAGTCATGAATTGTGTGTAAATTCCCCCGTGGTTTTGGGTATCTGAGAGAGATGGCTTGTGGCTTAGAATGCTCGCAGGTTTTGTATCACATCTCTGACATCCCAGCATTTCTTTTGCTGATTTCTTTCTTAATTTATCTCGCTAGGTGTCTTCCCCGATATTTGGATCCAATTGATATTCAATTTTGGGATTGTGATTTTGTGTTTGATTGATAGTGCATATATGTTCATGTTTATATGGATCTGAAATCTAAACGGCAGTTTTTGGGTATGTTTTATTCATTCGGTTTTCTATCTCCATGCTCGTTTTCTTACTATTAGCCATTGTTTAATCATTGAGTTCATAGTTGTATCCAGTGCTTTAGGAGATGCTAAATGTGAATTTTAGAGGACAGTGCATTTTGATCTTGCCCAGCAGTAACAGTCGGTCCTGATTGATTGACCAAAACCTTCACTCTTTCAGAGTCTATTATTTGTTTATGGGAGAAATGTAGATGTTGTAATCTAGGTGTCCAAACTTAAGTATTATTGCTTAAATAGATGCAACATGTAGACAAACCTGATCTTTTTGAGCTCTAGAATGTTGTTATAATCACACTTGGGAGCCTTGTACTTTTCTGGACAAGGTCATTGTAAGACTTCAGGGGCTTTAACTATGTGTACCGATCTTTTTTGGGTGCAGAAATTGGTCAGTGTCTGATTATGTGTTTTTTTTTTCTTTTTTTTTTTCAGTGGCATGAAAATTGAGTAACATGTAACACTTTGCTTTCTGTGCAGTGGCAAAGAGGACATCGGTTTTTGATGACCCCACCATGGAAATCCAGGAGCTAACTGCAGTTATTAAGCAGGATATAACAGCCCTTAGTTCTGCGGTGGTCGATCTCCAGCTTCTCAGCAGCTCACGCAATGAAAGTGGGCAGATGTCCACTGACACCACCTCTCATTCCACAACCGTTGTTGATGATTTGAAAAATCGACTGATGAGCACGACAAAAGAGTTCAAGCATGTCCTGACCATGCGAACTGAGGTTAAAAAAAACCATTAAATCTGCTTTTGACGTTTCCACTTTGGTGATGAAGCCACTCACTTTTACTTTTCAATATAAGTCAATAACACTAAACGTTTTTTCTTTTCCCTTTTCTGTGTTTTCCTTCCTTCTTTTTTTTTTAAAAAAAAAATTAAATATTATATATAAACAGAATTTGAAGGTCCATGAAAACAGGCGACAGTTGTTCTCTTCCTCAGCTTCAAAGAATCCAACGAATCCTTTCATTCGTCAGCGTCCTTTGGCGACAATGTCCGCTGCCGGAACATCATCAGCACCTCCTCTTCCGTGGGGGAACAGTAGAGATACTTCATCCCCAATGCTCCCCAAGTAAGAGCACAAATTGGATCTTCTTTTTTCCTCTTCTTATGTTTACTTCCTTCGATATTTTAATTAAATGGTATCTGATATATATAAGTTAGGGATAACCATGGAGATCACTATTATGATAAAAAATAATAAATAAATAATAATAATAATTTTTTGACACGTCCCTCTGTATCCCCCTTGTAGTATTTAGTATGTGTAGATGGTTGAACACTTGAAATTAGTTCTGAAAAATATGTTATCTGGGTTTTAGTTTAGCAGGATGTAAAAGTGATGGTTGAGGCAATATTATTTTCAACTAAATGAGATTCATTCCAGGTATGAATGATTACCTATATATAAAAATAATTTAATTTACATTTAATTTCAAATGTAACAGGAATCAAGTGGATGGGGGGAATCTCAGCCATTACTACATCAGCAACGAAACCAACAACAACAGCAAGTGGTTCCGTTACAAGACAGTTACATGCAGAGCAGAGCCGAGGCTCTTCAGAACGTGGAGTCAACTATTCATGAGCTGAGCAGTATCTTTAATCAGCTAGCTACCTTAGTTTCCCAGCAAGGAGAAATCGCTATCAGGTCTAAACAAACAGTCCTTTTTATCTTTTTAAATAATTAAATACTTGTTACATACACAACAAGATTTTGTATGTGCTACAAAGCATGGTCTTCTTTTTGACCAATTAACATCAGAAAGTAGCAAATAACGAAGTGGAGCACGAATTATAGGAATATGAATACATGATTTAAGCATACGTTGTAACTTTGAAGTCACATTCAAGTGGATGTGCATCGTCATAAGATCTAATTTGTATTTTCGGCAAGTATGCTTTTCGACCTATTTAAACATTTTTTCTTTATTTGCATATATTTTGTTTTATTTTTAAGATTGATGAAAACATGGATGATACGCTATCGAATGTTGAGGGCGCGCAGGGAGCATTGCTAAAGTATCTCAACAACATCTCTTCTAACCGGTGGCTGATGATAAAGATCTTCTTTGTATATATTGATTTTCTTTCTCACGATATTCCTATTCTTTGTGGCCTGATAAAGATACATGTATACACAGTGGGCTAAGTTTAGAATCTACAAATCGATTGCGATATTCCAAATTACACATCCATGTAGTATCTAGTCTTTGTAAATTGCTGCCTATAAACTGGGAGGACTGATTTCTTGACGATATTTATTGTGAATTTTGTCACGTGATACAATATGATTACGACAAAGAGAAGATATTCTCCATAATGACTTTTGAGTTGTTTGTAAAATGACTTTGGTACTGACTTTTTGTACCCAACAACAGTTCATATGACTTGTTTGCAGAAGGATTGTGGATTTGATTTTTTTTTTTTTCTTTAATTTTGTTCTTCTTTCTGGTTTTAATAGACTGGGAAATTCAGTGGAAAAGTGATATTTACAAAAGTGGGTGGTTTTTATTCCAAAATGACCCACAATTTAGTCAAAAAATTGATTCATATATTCTAAATATGACCCAGAATTTGGTTAAAATTCTCAGAAATAATCAAATCCCTACATCACTAACTATTTTTGTCTTACAAGAAATAAATTCAAAATATTGAATTTCATATGACCCACATAAACATTAACATAATTATCTGAATATTGAAGTCTGATAATAAGATACATTTAATATGAACAACAATTTTGTATGAGGTTGCTTTCAAAAGCAGTTATTGTAAAATTACAATCATCGGGTCCAAAATGCAAATAACCCAAACTAGAAGAACTGTAAAATTGCACAAAAGCCACAAGTATATAATCGGGCCGGGCTCATTTCTCAAGTTCACCTGCAATTCCTCGTGCTGTCGTCTCCATTGTTGGAACCCTTTACATATTCTGTATTTATACATTACATACACATCACTGTATCTGTCGCCACGCTTTTTGCACGAACCAAACACACGCATATACGCATACCTCATCCTCATCAATTGGAGCCCGCCACTGCCTAATCGTCTCGCTTGTTCGAAACCCTAAGCAGTTCCGCTTTCAAGAACCCATTTTTGAATTCGTGAAGCTCTGAGGATAGGGATTGGCTTGGTGGGTTTGAAGAATTTGACAGTATTTACTCTCCCCGAGATTCGTTTTTGAGGTTTTTGTTTTCCGTGATTGAATTTAGTCATTTACTCTGTTATTTTTTTTCTTCCGAATTAATCAAGAATTGTTACTTCTGAGCTTTGGATTTGGTTTTTTGGCGTCATGGAAATCATTGATTATTGTTTCTCTAGGAATTGTTACGTGGGATTTTTTCGGACAATTGGAAATGGTGGGAGGTGGAAATAGAAGGGACGAGGGATCATTTACTGTGAGCAACACCAATGTATTTGCAGCTCTTGATAGTCTGAGGAAGAAGAAGAAGTCCGACAAGGACAAGGGCCCGTCTAAGGGAGGTAAGGGTACTTCGAAAGGGTCAAAAGGAGCTTCTGAGACTGAGAAGAAGGTTTACTGGGCCCCGGCGCCTTTGACCTCAAAGTCGTGGGCTGATGTCGGTGATGAAGATGACGATGATTACTATGCGACAACTGCTCCTCCAAAGGTCATATGGGGTGCTTCAGGTTCGAATAAAGCTGGAGAGACTCAGAAGCTTCATCCCGTGGAGGTATATATATATATAGTTTTATGAAATGAGAAAACCATGGTGTTTTTGTGGGTTGAATTGCTTATACTTTTCCATGTGTTTGTTGTTTGTAATGCTCCTTATTTATTGGTTAACTTGTCTGAGCTGAAAGTAAGCTATCTTTTTCGTGATTCTTGTGTTTTAGATGTTTTTCGTATATTATTTACCATGTCTCTTCTTTTTAGGTGCTTTTGTTTGAATGGCTTTTTACCTTTTCCATTGTATAGCTGCTGCAATCTGTTATTGTAAGCATCAGTGTGTAATTTGTGCGATGAAAGTTTTTCAGCTATTTTGGCTGAATCAATTCTGAAGGGACTTTTCGATGCTTGTCAAGTGTCATTTTGCATGTTTAAGGATTTCGATGTTGCTAGAGATGGTTATTTTGTGATGATTTTTTTGTTATGCGATGGATTAGGCAAAACATGCAGTTCTTGTTCTTTGTGATTTCATTTAAGGAATGGAATTTTCACAAATGCCTATCCACACTGTAATATTGTCTCCTAACTTCTCCAATTGTGACCTCTTCTTTAGGATTTGAGTTTGGATCTCACTATTGACTTTCAATTTTCCATTTCCCTCGATTTATTGACTGTGTAAATATGATGGTGTGCTAATGTATACTTATCCAATAATTTTGCGGTCCACTTGACTGGTTGATTTGATGAAACAATCCGATTAAAAATTCAATGCTTGGATAATCATTATCCGTCGTGATTTGCAGGAAAGCGAAAGTGAAGACGATCTTCTTGATGAAGGGGATGATGATGTGGAAGACGAGCACGACCCTGAACCAGAAGCAGAAGAAGAAAAACACCCTCAACCGGTGTTGAAAAATCCTGTTGTAGCTTCTCTAGCACCTAAAGAGACTGAGAGGCAGCTGTCCAAGAAGGAGAGGAAAAAAAAGGAGCTTGAGGAGCTAGAGGCTATCCTAGCTGATTTTGGAGTCAACCCAAAAGAGAAAGCTGGAGATGAGAGATCTGGTAAATCATGTTAAGCATTCCTTCAATATCGTGTTATGGATAATTAAAAGTACTCTTGAGGTTTGACTTAATTACCTAACGTCTCAGCTTATTTCCTAATTTACAAAAAGATAGATACCCCTGGAGAATGCAAACTGTTGGGAGAGATTGAAAATTTTTCTTTCTCGTGAAGGGGAAAATATAAGCTGGCATAAAAATTTCAGGGGTATTTTTAATAATATTTGAAGTACTGGTCTTCTCTGTAGTTGGATCAAACCAATTCTGCTTTTCGAGTAAAGAAACGATTTTGGTATTACTTCGTCTGAGATGGGCTTGAAGTCCCACCTAAATGATCCAAAAGATAGCTTGAAAAAGGAGCCTTTTGTTGCTTCAAAACCCATTAATTTGTCGATTACCCGTACAATTTCAGTGAATTTTGCTATTGCAATTGGAAATTATTTCAATCCTAATGAAGCCTCAAGTAAACTGTCTTCCTTATTCCATTTCTGTACTTGAATGGTGAGTGCATTATACATTTTTATGTGGAACCTTATATGCTCCTGAAATTGTAAGGTATTTGTAAATTTGTAATATGTTCATTTGTTCATTTGCAAACATTGTTGAGTCACGAATCACAATAATTATATCAAAGTTTTTCCTATTTCCGGTTCACCTTGCAGATGTCACTAAAGACAAGAAAGAGGAACAAGCAAATGGAAATGCCAACAAGAAGGACAATAACGCCCCTGGGGAATCGAAAAACGCCAAGAAGAAGAAGAAGAAGGATAAGTCATCCAAAGAGACAAAGGAGCCTCAAGACCAGCCCAATACCTCAAGCGAACCCAATGAGCCTGTTGAGTCCCCTGAAGCCCAACATGCTGATGAGGATACTTCTACCATTGATGTCAAAGATAAGCTCAAGAAAATGGTGTCCGTTAAGAAGAAGAAATCGAGTAAAGAAATGGATGCCGCCGCTAGAGCCGCCGCCGTCGAGGCTGCCGCCCGGAGCGCTAGGCTGGCAGCCGCCAAGAAAAAAGAGAAGAATCATTACAACCAGCAGCCGATTCGGTAAGGTGGGTCCAGATCGAGATTAACGGGTTTTTTATGGCTCGTTATAATAAAAAACAAGACTTTTGAGGTATTGCTTTTGGACATGGATATCATATACATGGTTTTACTTGGCCCGCCCGGCCCGGATGGTTTCTGGTTGTTGATCAGGACTTGTTTAATGCTCATTTTGGTGCACTTTTTACCTGGTAGTTCAGTTGTAACATAGTCCTTTCCTGTGGTTTATGCGACTTTCTTCTGGAAAGAAAAAATCATGATGGAAAATATACTTCCTTGGGTTTTACTTGTTTCATTCAATTTCTTACTTTGAAAAACATTAAAGGGAGTTTATTGTGATTTAATTATTTTAAGATTGGTGTAATAATTATTTAAGAGTATACGGTTTTGCTATGAAGTCAACAGTTATTTTTATAGTGGAGCCGATCTTTTATATACAACAAATAATAAAGTAATAATCAATAAATGACAGTTTTATGTTAATTAACCCAAATGAAGGTAAAATTATTTGCCCTAGTTTATTTGGCACATTCTATTTTTATTTTAATTCTAACTTTTGAAAATAAAAAAAACTAATTGTAAAATATTTATTGTATTAGACACATTTTTAATTCTACTTTTATTTTAATCTATATATATATAATTGTTGGCTCATGAGCATTCAATAAAACCTATTAAATTATACCTACGTGGCAATATAATTTTTTCCCTCTAAAAGCCGTTACTTTTTATTTATTTAACCTCTATTTTAATTATAGATAATCAACACACTAATCACATCAAAATTATAAAAATCATTTTAAATCTTTTATTTACTTACAGCTGACCATATAATGTGTTGACTATTTAACATGATTAGATGTTATTGTTGTGGTTACATTTAAATTAAATTCTTTTGAAAAATAAAAAACGTATTTGAAATTCTTAAATAAATCATAAATAATTCACTAAAAAAGATGAATACCAAAATATACATTACATCCAATGTGACAAACGCAATTTTAAAAAAAAAAATATTTCAGCTCTCTTAATTGTAAATGTGAAAAAAATTATTAATCATTCATTATATGCATACAAATAACTCACAATACTTTATTTATATATTTGTGCCAATGCACAAGTCGAATACTAGTTTTTTATAATTGCTTAAATATTGTCTTCAACTACGACCGTCTCTATCAATTTATTAATGATTTTCATCTCAATATTATTTCCAACAAGTTTTCACTGAATTATGACTTAACTAAAATTTAACATCCCCTATATATTAATCCAGAACACGCTGAGCTTACGTGACTGTTTCTGGTGCTTAAGAATTCTATGTGGCAAAATTACATGCTTCGTTATTAGACTTGGATAAATTTTAATTTAATTCCAAACCAAAAATAATTATGTTCGGATTACCATAAATATGTTGATTATTTAGGGTCATGTTACATTCATTAATTGTATTTTAATATCATTCCTTATTATAACTATTGAATTGTATATGTATTTTAAAAATTAATAACTTTTGTATTTTTTATCAGTTTTACATATGTAATATATCAAATTAATCTTCTTTTGATGAGATTCGATTTAACATCCATATTGTATGTATAAAGAATAAAATTTATATTTATCTTTATAACAATAATAAAATTATTTTTAATATTAATTAGAAAAATAAAATTATTTATCAACTAATATATTTATATTTTATATGATATAAGTTATAAAAACTAATATAATATAACACATGTAAGTCATAAGTAACACATATCATTCTAAAATATAGTAATATATTTTTTTGTAAAAAAGTAAACTAAATTTAATATAGTTTTCTCATTAAGTTTAAAATTTAAGAATAATTTTTTAACAAGCACCCGTGTAATACACGAGTATTGTACTAGTATTAAATTAAATTTAAAAATATAAAGAGCGTTTGTGAGAAACCATAACTCGACATATAAATGGAAAAATAATTTATGTTATGCTCTCTCTTAATATATAAAAAAAAAAAAGAATCTACTCTAATTTATAATTTATTATTGGAAAATACTACGGTCCCGGAACCATCATGTACGTCAGAGATAGTTGATCTAACGGTTATAAACTCCGACGGAATGGTTCCGTAACGGGGCATGTAGCATCTTCCCAAAAATAAAATCATTATACAGAGGGCATAATTGTCAGGTAAAAGTGAAATACCCATAAGAACTAAACCCTATTTATCCTTCCACTTGTTCATCTCATACTTTTAACTCTGCGCTTCATTTTGTCCCAAAATCAAAACCTCCCGCCGCGCGCCATCGCCGACAACCACTGGTCCTTCTTACATGGTAAGATCTACAGTTATCCCTCTCAACGATTTAGATCCCTCACATACTTCAATCATCGGCGCGTGCGCTGACGCTTCTGGTTTTGCCGTGTGTTTTGAAAATCAGGCGTCGGAGAAGAAACTGTCAAACCCGATGAGGGAGATCAAGGTCCAGAAGCTGGTCCTCAACATCTCCGTCGGCGAAAGTGGTGACCGTCTCACGAGGGCTGCAAAGGTGGTCAATCATTATGTGTCGTTGCTCGTGTTTTCCTGGCCGCGATTTGCGTTTATTTATTTTTTTTTGGCATACGTTGTATTAAATTCTGTCTGTGTCTGTAGGTATTGGAGCAACTCAGTGGGCAAACGCCCGTTTTCTCGAAAGGTAAGATTTTTATTTACCGGCAATCTATTTATTAAAATGAATTGATGGATGATGTTTGGTTTTATTATGTTATGTATGATGAAGAAAATAGTTGATGTTTGATCTAAGTTACTCAGACATGCCTGCATTGAGAAATATTGATGTTCGTGAGTGATTGTGTTGTTTGATGTACTCAGCTCGATAATTGATTTGAAAGCATAAGCCGTTTGCTCTATTAAATGTCTGATAATTGGATACTAAGGCTATGTTTGATAAACTTAGTTGATAAATTAACTTATAACTTATAAGTATAGCTGATAGCAAGTCAGGCGTATGACTTGTGACTGAAAAGCTAGTTTATGTATAAAAGTGTTTAGTAAAGCTATCTGAAATAAAAATTTCAAATAGGCTATAAACTACTAAATGAAGTTTATAAGATAAGCTTGAGGTTTTTTAAAAAAAGCTCGTCCTGCCAATCCAAGCATAAGCTTATTTGAATACATGAAGCTTATAAGCTAATCAAATAAGATATAAGCTAACTTATATGTTTACCAAACAATGTAGATTACTAGAAGCCATGAAATGTGATATATGCATCGAAAATCTCATACACACACACACACACACATGACCTTGAATAAAACTCAAGCAATGCGAGTGGGAGGCTTGAAAACATATATATAGATGTAATGTTATCGAATATATGTGTGATGTCTCCTTTTACTTGTTTTTTTCTTTTCCTTTTCTTCTCATGGTGTGGTGTAAACCCAATTGAAATAAATTAGGCGACTTGGGGGTGATTGTTATCAACCCAAAAAAAAAATAAAATAAAATAAAATAAATAAATCAAAACTCTTAAATTTAACTCAACTTTAATCCAACTCCACTATCTCTATCAATATAATTAAATAATATCAACCAATCATTCTTACACAGCACACCAACTTTAATTCAATATTCATCTACTCACATAATTTTATGTGTCACTTACAATATTTTTTCTCGTACTTATACATCAAATCAACTTCAATTATTTTATTTTAAATAATATTTTAATTTAAACTTAAATATCCACTAACAACTAATCATACAACCTTTTAAAAATCAACTATGGTTAAAAAAATAAACAATCAAAAACTAGTTCAATCCATATCCAATCACACCCTTCGTACTTTGTTCGATTATGCTGCAATATTTGCTCCCAAGCAATACTGCCATGGAACATGGCAGACTTACCTTAAGGATTTTCAAATTCGAGTCCATTGTTGCTGTCTCGTTTGAAAGTCCCAAAACTTGCTTTCCATCCATTCTCATCTTGTACACTATAAAATATGCAATTGTCCGAACAGTCTTTCCATCCTTACTCTTGATAGAATGATACAAAACAGAAGTCTATACACATAAGCCGATGATATCCAAGTTACTACATTATACTCACACAGTTTTGTCTCTTGATCGACAGCAAGGTACACTGTACGGTCCTTTGGGATCAGACGGAATGAAAAGATTGCTTGTTATGTCACTGTCAGAGGCGACAAGGCAATGCAGCTTCTCGAAAGCGGGCTGAAGGTCAAGGAATACGAATTGCTCAGAAGGAACTTTAGCGACACTGGATGCTTTGGGTTTGGCATTCAGGAGCACATTGATCTCGGGATAAAGTAAGCAAGCAAGTCCCTTTTTGCCTGGTCTTTGTTGCGAACATTACAAGTTTATGAAATGAAACACATCTATAATACTTGAATCAAATTACTCATCAAAACCTCATTTTTCACTTGGCTGAAAATTTATCAATCTTCACTCATTTTTCAGGTACGACCCATCAACTGGCATCTACGGTATGGATTTCTATGTTGTCTTAGAGAGGCCCGGTTATCGTGTGGGCCGCCGGCGCAGGTGCAAGTCGCGTGTCGGAATTCAGCACAGGGTGACAAAGGAAGATTCCATGAAGTGGTTTCAAGTGAAATACGAAGGTGTCATTCTCAACAAGGCATCTAACATTGGAGCTTAAGGGAATTTTTACAATAAATTTTTTTTTTTTGGATCCGGAAAAGATTTAGAATTTCGTCATCTTGGAAATCAGACTGTTTTACTTTGCTTGATAGCAGGACGGTGTTTGTTGTGTCTTTTAGTTTATGAACTAGCTCGATTTTGTCAAATCGTGATTGCCTGTGATCAAAATATCTATCTTTACACTACAAAGAGATTGTGTCTTAATTTAAAATCTAAAGAATGACAATAGAAATGAGATAAATTGTTATTAGAATTTCTTGCTAGAGCTGAATCCTGGGGACATTGGTTTAAATCAATTTTGTCCATCATAATGTTATATGGACGAGATTCTTCCATTTGTAACCGATCAATTTTTTACTTCTCAGTCATTTGATATGCCTGAAATTCTCAATTGTTGAAGAACAAACTCGTGAATATTGATACCCAGATGGGGGATCCAAGATTCCAAATAGCCCTTTGTATGAAAATTTCCTCACAAAAAATAGGGAAGTAAAATTAAAATGCAGATGTCTTAAAGAGGTTTGGATTCGTTCATTTAATTTGGTTTGGTACTTTGTGTGTGAGCCTATAGACATGAGAATGGGTTGGTTGTAATAAAGGGGAAACAATACATTAAATGATTTTGTTGGTAATAGATTGTATATAAAGCTTAATGTAATACAATAAAACAAGCAGTCAGGATGGCCGAGTGGTCTAAGGCGCCAGACTCAAGTTCTGGTCCTCGTGAGAGGGCGTGGGTTCAAATCCCACTTCTGACAACAACACGTTTATTT